ATTGTTTAAACTTGATTCTATTGGATACTCTTTTAAATTTTAAAATGGTTGTTTCTATTTGTTTAAACACAATCATCTCATAGGATAGGTTCTAATAGGTTCTAGTATTCTTTGTGATGACCTATATAAGCTTAAACTTGATAATCTTTTCGCTGAGACTCTAATGACTTTGCATCATAATATTGGTATTGAACGTGATTTTATGAATCAAAGTTCAGTTTATTTGTAGCATAAAAGTTTAGGTCATATATCCAAAGAAAGAATTGAAAGATTGGTAAAGAATGAAATCCTTAATGAATTGGATTTAACTGATCTTGAGATCTGTGTGATCTGTATTAAGGGAAAACACACTAATCACACACTTAAGAAAACCGTCACAAGAAGCACACAGCTCCTTGAAATTATACGCACTGATATTTGTGGATCTTTTAATGTTTCATCTTTTGGTGGAGAAATATTTTATCACATTTATTGATGATTTTTCATATTGTGAGTATGTCTATTTATTGCATCAAAAATCTCAAACTATAGATGCTTTAAAGGTGTATATAACTGAGGTTGAGAGACAATTTGACAGAAAAGTGAAAATTATCAGATCTGATAGAAGCGGTGAATATTATGGAAGTTACGATGAATCTAGACAATGTCCTGGTCCATTTGCTAAATTCCTTCAAACTAATGACATATGTGCTCAATACACTATGTCAAGAACACCACAACAAATGGTGTTGCAAAAATGTGAAACCGTACTCTAATGTAAATGGTTAGAAGTATGATGAGTAATTCTTCTTTACCCTCATCATTGTGGATGCATGCTTTAAAGACCGCTACATATTTGTTAAACAGGATTCCTAGTAAGGCAGTTCCAAAAACTCCTTTTGAACTGTAGACAGAAAAGAAACTTACTTTAAGACACCTGCGTGTTTGGGGTTGTCCAGCGAAAATAAAGTTATATAATCCACATGAAAAGAAACTGGACTCAAGAACAATCATTGGTTTCTTTATTGGTTATCTAGAAAAATCTAAAGGATATAGATTTTATTATCCTAACAACACTACAAGAATTATTGAAGCTGAAAATGCTAAGTTTTTTGAGAATTGTGAAGTTAGTATGAGTTTGGAACCACATAAAGTGGAGATCCAAGAAATTAGGGTTCAAGTTCTTTTACCCAAAATTTATTCTCAAGTTGTTATTCTTATAGTTGTTGAACAATTTGACAACTTACAATTTGACAACTTACTTCTTATAGTTGTTGAACAATTTGACAACTTACAAGAATAACAAATATATGATCAAATACCCCACAATGAAATTGTCACTGATGAACCTACATTAGATGAATCATATGAAGTAGTACCTAGAAAGTCTCAACGACAAAATTGGTTTGCTATTTTCGATGATTATGTGGTTTATCTACACGAATCTGAATTTGACTTAGGAGTTAATGAAGATCCAGTTTCATTTTCACAAGCCATAGAAATGCCATAAAAAGTAAATGCAAATTCTTCTAAATAGTTAGATGCAATGAAAGATGAGTTGAAATCGATGGATCACAACAAAGTCTGAGATGTCGTTGAATTGTCTGAAGGTTGTAAAACAGTCGGGTGTAAATGAGTCTTTAAGACTAAGCACGATTCGAATGATCATATTGAACGATACAAAGTCATACTTGTTGCCAAATGTTTCACTCGGAAAGATGGCATCGACTATAAAGAAATATTTTATTCGGTTTCTAAAAAACATTCATTTAGAATTATCATGGCACTAGTAGATCATTATGATTTGGAGTTACACCAAATGGATGTGAAAACTGTCTTGCTGAATGAGAATGTAGATGAAGAGGTCTACATGAGTCAACCTGAACTCTTTCGACTTAAGCAAACTTCCCGACAATAGTATTTTAAGTTCAATGATATCATCACGTTCTTTGGATTTAAATAAAACACTGTTGATCGGTGTATATATCTAAAGGTTAGTGCTAGCAAAATCATATTTCTCAGTTTGTATGTTGATGACATCTTGTTGGTTACTAATGATCTTGTCTAATTATATGAAACTAAAAATTTTCTCTCTAAGAACTTTGAAATGAAAGATACGAGTGAGACATCCTATGTGATTGAAATTAAAATATTTCATGATAGATCATAAAGATTGTTAGGGTTGTCTCAGAAAACATATATCAAAAGAGTTCTTAAGAAATTCAATATGGAATGGTGCTTAGCAAGTGTTACTCCAATTAAAAAATGAGATAAATTCAGTCTTATGTAGTGTCCAAAATATGATTTGGAACATAATCGAATGAAAAAAATTCCTTATGCATTTATTGTTAAAAGATTAAAGTATGCTCAGACTTGTACCAGACCAGACATTAGCTTGATTGTCGGGATGTTTGGCAGGTATCAAAGTGATCTAGGAATAGATTATCGAAAAACTGCAAAGAAAGTTTTGAGATATCTACAAGGAATAAATGACCACATGTTCACTTATAGAAGAACTAAAGATATTGAAGTGATAGGATATTCAGATTTAGATTTTGTTAGATGTGTTGATACCAGAAAATCAACATTTAGCTATCTGTTCTTTTTGGCTGAAGGAGCAATATTATGAAAAAGTGTGAAGCAAACTATCACAGCTGCTTCCACTATGGAAGCTGAATTTGTGGCTTGCTTCGAAGCTACAATTCAAGATTTATGACTGCGAAATTTTATTTCAGGACTTGAACTTGTCAACAGTATTATCAAGCCGCTGAAAATTTATTGTGATAACTCCCCAACAGTCTTCTTTTCAAAAAATGACAAGTATTTCAAAAATGCTAAACACATAGAATTAAAATATTCTGTCATTAAGGATGAAGTTCAGAAAGATAGGGTGGCAATTGAGCATATTAGCATCAATCTTATGATTGCAAATTATTTGATAAAAGGGTTGTCACCGAAGACATTTAACAAACATATCGTGAGAATGAGAATTACCAGAACTCTTTATTGGTTTTATGCTCTTTGTATTTTGACACTTTGGGCTCAATTTTTCTTATTTTTGATATTTATAAATCTTATTTTTATCATTAGTGTACATTTTATGTTGTATGATGTTCAACAAAATTTGTCTTTTAATAGACATTATGAGACCATGATGTTAATTCTCATTATGCTAAGCATGTAATTGATATTGTGATATCCATGGAAGAGACTATGTCGAAAAATTGATGCACAACCGTCATGATTCATATTAATTTTGTGTTTATTAAATAATTTATGATTTAACCAATATAAAAAAGAATTTATCTTACATTTTGTGCAGTATGTTATGCACTATTATAATTAAGTCAAGTGAGAGAATATTAAATTTTTATTTGTGACTCACATTTATTTTAATAACTTATGAGATGTATTTTGATAACTCGAGATATTTATTTTCTTAACTCATAATTTATGTCATAACTTATGATAACTTATTATATTTATTTTTGTAACTCATGATAACTTAAGTTATTAATTTTCTTAACTCATAACTTATGATAACTTGTGATATTTGTTTAAGTCGTGATAAATTAAGTTATTTATTTTCTTAACTCATAACTTATTTGACAACTTATGATAACTTATGATATTTATTTTTTATTTATTTTTTATAACTTAAGTTATTTATTTTCTTAACTCATAACTTATGTCATAACTTATGATATTTATTTTTATAACTCATGTAATCTCTAAAATGAATGAGGGTTACTAACTTATGTCATTGATTTTAATAATAAAAATCAATTAATTTATTAAATTATCATAAATCCTATTAGTTAATAACCCCTTGATAGATGGTGGTTAAATAGAACATGATTCAGAGAATGGGTCCACTCTCTTCCTAACACACCCCGTACATTTCCCTCCAGCATTAAGTACAAAAAGTTTCAAATGATTAGAGAGAGAAACTTCATCTCTTCAAGCTCAAATTTTATCATCATGAATACATGTATGTGTTACTTTATTATGGATATGTAAAAATCATGAATTTAAAAGATGTTGGCTATTATGCATTTTTGGAATTTGTTTTATAAAGTTCAAACAAGAATTTCTAACATTGGGTGTTATGTATGTAACTTTCCTTTAAGATTTTAACAAGACTTGCAGAATGTTGCAAAATAAACTAAAAAAAAATCTTTGTTCTCCACATGAGGGGAATTAAGACTTGAGTTTGTAAACAACTCGGATATTTAACGAACTCTAGAGTTCTACCTCACATTTGACATTGACAATCTCCGCCGATCATCACCATCATTCAACTAGCAATGTTCAATCGTCGTCGTTTAGCCACTGTCACTTGATCATCACCCCCCGATCTCCATCCATTCGCCATCATCCAACTTGTCTTCTCCAGTTATTCTTGTATGAATGTTGTTGCCTGACTAATATCATCTAATCGTCGCTATCATCCCCCGCTACTTCTAGATATACTACATTATAGGAGACAAAGTTTGATCGTATTACTCTGTAATTTCATCTTCTATTGTTGAGAAAAAAACATAACACTATGATTTTTTTATATGGTAAACCATTTCATCTAAAGCAGGCCTGTAATTTTTTTCCTTCTACGATTTTTTTATAGAAAAGTCTATGTATATTGTGCTCCTCTCTTTTATCTGTATGTGTGCAAAATCTCCAAGCAAAACTAAAACATAAAATTCTCACTTTTAACACTGCAATTTTCTACTTCTCAACAAACATAATTTTTCTAATTATACATTCCATCAACTCTCTCCCATAATGACGTCTAATGACTCATAAGTTTAATTCTAATTTCCACATTTCCAAACATTTTGACACATCTCATAATCTTAGCCGCTAAAAAGGTGCCAAACCACTCAATAAAAAATTATGAAGAACAAGCTCGAAATTTATGGCGGAATGTAAAACTACTCCAAGCTGGCTCATTACAACCCACGAATCATCCATCAACAACGTGTGATGTTAAATTGGCTATAAAAAACATAAAACACACACACCTTAATATTCCCGGCTTCCTTGATTGCCAAAATAAGCATAACCTCATCCTCGTAAAGATGCGGCGAACGATGGCTGAGCGTGCAGATCACAATATCCACCTGCTTCAATGTCGCCACCAGTTTCGCCTTATCGTAAACATCCCCCTGCGGGCGTCGCGATCAATCAGTTAAATAGCTCCTGCAAAAATCGTGTGGGAAAACTTACAAAGACAAGATTGACGCCGCGAGACTTGAAGGATTCAATGAGCTTGGCTTTCTCAGGGTCGGAGGCCTGTGTGCTTTCGCGGACGAGGGCGAATGTGGGATGGCCAAGCCTGATGCTAGCGTCTACCATGAACTTGCCGAAGTAGCCGGTGCTTCCGATCACAAGAACCCTGCTCGGAGCTGACGCCATTTGACCGGAGACAGTCGCTTGTACTTGGGGGAAAGTTGGGAAAGACCACTAATATAATTTTTCACTCTGATCTTAGTTTATGTGCAGCTCCATTTGAATTGTTTATTCATTTATGACTTGTGTTTCTCTCATATCTAACTCAAATGATTTAAAACATACTAGATTTTAATGTTTTTAAATAAATTGCAAAAATTAATATAACTATATTATAATAAATATTTTTTATTTAATTATTTGACTAATTCGAAGAAAAGCAACTCGAACACAACTAAAGGAATGTTTGTTTATGCTCGGCTTGTTTATTTATCGAGCTCAAAATAATTGTTCATATTCGGACATTTGCTTAAGAATTGAAATGAATATGAGTTATTCAAGAATGTGAGGTTTTTTTTTACAACCCTAACATTAAGGGTTGTTTTTGTGCTATCCTCGTAACTAATACTCTCTCTTCTTCTTACTTCATAAGTTCAAAAATCATAAATTGAAGCTAAAAGCCTCGAGGTGGAACTTTGACTTTTGTCTCTCTAATGTTATTAACGAACCTTCCAAAGTTTAGGAGCACATTGAATGGCTCATTTCAATTAATCCTATTTATCTTAGATTAAATATTAGTCTTCAATAAAACAATAAGAAATTGTATGAGCTCGTGCAATGTAAAGCCTTATGGCTATCTTAACAAGCCACATCTAAGTGGCTATATTTAGGAGGAAAAAATATTACATCAATACTACTCACGTAAAAATAATGTGCGTAGCCAATGAAATCACGCCACGACGACAGGGAAACGGCGCAGTAACACGGGGAATATTCCCCCATGTGTTATTCATGTGTTATTGCGTGTTATTCATGTGTTATTGATGTGTTATTGTGTTATTATAACACCAAGAATATTCTCAGGACACAATAACACATGAATAACACGGGGATTATTCCCGACAGAGAAAAAACGGCGCAGTAACACGGGGGAATATTCTCCCCCGTGTTATTCATGTGTTATTCATGAGTTATTGATGTGTTATTATGTATTATAACACCAGGAATATTCCCAGGGCACAATAACACATGAATAACACCGGGGGGGGGGGGGGGGGGGGAATCCTCCCGGTGGACCGCCC